GGTGTGTATGACAGTGAAACTGTGGATTGACATTGCAACACATCATCATCATTGGGGAGGTAATGCTGATGGGGAAGGATAACCACTTTTAATCTTTTGTTTCCACCTTACAAGCTGCCAGGCAGGGCCTTGGCCCATCCCTAGCTCCTCATGACAGGCCTGATTAATCTGCCTAAGCCATGACTTCCATGGTTATCCCACAGGCCTCCTCTACCTAGGGTTCTCTTAAACAGAAACAACCTGTTGGGCAGGATTGTCTTGAGAGAAGCGAGCCAGGTGCTCAAATAGCATGAGTTGGCGGAGATTGGAGTGTACAAGTAGCGAGTCCTGTGCCAGTCTCACGGTGTAATTGTTAGTTGGATACATGGTTCTGCCAACTGTACCTCATGATCTGGCATAAGGACCTGTTATAAAAGTCATCTAGACAAAACGCCGAAATATAGGATAGTGTCAAGGTTTCACTCCATATAGAAAAATAGCTGTATCACAGCCTTGAAGACATGTTATTTGGTCCTTCTGCACAATTACAGGTATATCATAACTCCTGCTGCCAGGCCAATCTGTCTACCGACTTCCTGGTTTGACAGCCCAGTCATGAACTACTACCAACTTTGTTGATTATGGCAGTCAGTTTCTTTACCACCTGAGCACTGCAAGGCTAAAGGCTCAGAAAACGACTTATTGATTTGAATCAAATACCCTTATAGTGTACTGTATTGGTTATGCAACTTTTCCTTTTCATATTTTTTATTTAAAATGAAGATAGTATGATTACCTGTCTTGTCTACAGACTGGATATGTTTCAAATAATATGAAAAATATTGTTAGTTGCTTATGTGTGACATTAGTAACAGTTTTATTATGATTTAGTCACATACTACATTATTGTCAATATAAATATGCCAAGATTAGAGTGTTAGCCAATTACAGGCTTTATTTAGCTGCTAAGCAATGTTACCAGATAGAAATGGGTGAAGAGCGTTGGACATGTATAGTTGGAAGTGCCTGAGCTGTACTAATCCTGAACATTTTCATCTTTTTAGGTAACACCAAGAAAGAAGTTCAAGTGTGGAGAATGCACAAGTGGAGATCTTTCTGCCAATGAAGCTCATATGGTTGAACGCTCACAGTGTGTCAGTCACTTCACACATGAATTTGGTACTATGCCCCTGAAGACTGTGGAGTTCAGGGCAGATCCTGTTTTGTACATGGACAATTTTCCGGAGAAGTTAAAGCTTTACAACAATATGGGAAGCCTTTGAATAGAAACC